CATCTCTCTCTTCTTTTTTCTTTTCTTTTTTTTGTTAAAAACTCTTCTTTTTTCTTTCAATTTATTTTTCACTGATTTTGGATATTAAAGTTTTAGAATCCTAATTTTTTTTGTGCATCAATTTTGATAATTATACTATACTTTGTAGATGTCATATTCGTCGCCTGCTCAATCAAAAATTATGGAAGAACTGGGACTTTCTGTGGCAGATGTAAGTCCACCTGTGTTCATATCAATATCGGTTTTTGTTTTGTTTTAGGCCTTGTTTGAAAAATCGCTAGGCGCTAGTCGGGCGTTCGGCATGGGCCTAGCGATTAATCGGAAAATCGGATTAAAATCGGGGATTAATCGGGGATTAGTTTTAGGGTTATTTTAATATTTTTAGAATATATTAATCCAATATAGTAAAAATTTATGATTTTTATTACAAATTTATGATTTTTATTAAAATATGAACACAAGTTATTGTAAAACATCACAAACTCCCAATTCAAATGATTGAATAACAAAAATAAAAAGTTCTTTTATACTTAAATCTAAAAAATAATCGGAGTATATAAGATTAGGCGGGAAGTAATCGGATTAGGCGGAAAATAATCGGGTTACTGATTTTTTAGGGGATTAGTCATTAATCGAGGCGGATAGGGTGGGCCTAGCGATTAAGCGGGGAGTAATCGGGGCTAGGCGGGGATTTTTAGAACAAGGACTTTTAGGGAATCTCAAACCGGTTCAATAAACCAGACCAGCAACTCCGGTTTGAATGGTCTGTTATTTCTATTTTGGCCAGTATTCGTTTTTCACTTCGGTAATGACATTAGGAGGAATGATTACGGCCGCGTTTAGCGGGAAAATATCTGCTCTCGTTGGTCGTCGACAGGTAATTATTGTTGGACCGGTTCCGGTTTATCTTTTGATTTTATTGGATCTTCTAAGATGAAGTTATTATTATTATTTTTTATTGTGTTTTCTGATTTGCTGGTCTATTGATATCTCAGACAATGTGGATCTCAGATGTTTGCTGCATCTTTGGTTGGCTCGCTGTAGCATATGCACATGTTTGTTTCTCCAAATCTCCCTTTTTAAAAAAGATATGTATTTACTCAAAAAATTAAATAATTCTTTGCAAAGTTTTGTTTTAAGCAGTTAACATGTTGTTTATTGTGATTATTTGAAGGATATTCTACTGCTTAATATTGGACGACTCTTCTTGGGGTTTGGGGTCGGTCTCATTAGTTATGTGGTAACTAAATTTATAGCCCCTTTTTATTTAAACAAAATTTCTAGTTTTTTTTATCAGATTGTTAATGTCGTATTATACCATTTTTATTTATGGATCGACTGGTCAAAATAAACAGGTTCCTGTGTATATAGCAGAAATTACACCCAAAACATTTCGCGGAGGATTTTCTTATTCTAATCAGGTAAAATAAAAACAAAAACTATATCAAAATAACTTATAAATACAAAACCAGAATATTTAATTATTATTGTTATCTTTGGTTTGAACTTGCAGCTTCTACAATGTCTTGGGATATCACTCATGTTCTTCACTGGAAACTTTTTTCATTGGCGAACATTAGCTCTTTTAAGTAACTATATTTTTCTCATCTAAAGTATCTAAAATGTAATATTTATACTTGATCATATTGTCAAACTAATTCTTGATTTCAAATCTACGACTAGGTGCAATCCCAAGTGCTTCCCAAATGATATGTTTATTTTTTATTCCTGAATCTCCTAGATGGCTGGTATGTCTAACACTTTCAGTTGGTTTACTATTATTTTTCAATGTATTTATTGGTAATACTATAAGCACAATTTACGTATCAATGTTCCTTTTATAGGCGATGTATGGTCGAGATCAAGAACTTGAAGTTACTTTGAAGAGATTAAGGGGAGATAATAGTGATATTCTTGAGGAAGCAGCTGAAATCAGAGTAATCAATTAATTAATTTTTTTTTCAGTTACATTTTTACATACATAGTAATTAACACCAAAAATATATGTATTCAGGAGACAGTGGAAATATCCAGAAAAGAGTCTCGAAGTGGAATAAGAGACTTGTTCCATATAGGAAACGCACATTCGTTAATCGTAAGTCTCATCTAATACCAATCATCTTTTATATAAATTAAATATATGTTTTCTTGGTTTATTAATTTGGTTGAAAATGATTAGATTGGCTTGGGATTAATGCTTTTGCAACAATTTTGTGGGAGTGCGGCGATAAGTGCTTATGCTGCTCGTATTTTCGACAAAGCAGGTACACCAAAACAAATTTGAAGGGCAGGTCACAACTGGTTTGGTATTTGTAGTCAATTCCATCTCACGATTTTTAACTACATTGTTTGGTGTGACTAGGTTTTCCAAGCGACATAGGAACAACCATCCTCGCAGTTATTCTGGTACATTATTCTCTATAATTTGCTACTCTTTATCATCTATTTATCTTTGAATATTTCATCTTTTTAATTTCAGTTACAACTTTTTTTTGTAAAGATACCGCAATCTATAGTTGTCATGTTAACAGTCGACCGTTGGGGACGCCGACCACTTCTTATGGTTACAATTTCACTATAACATTTCATTACTGATTTCCTTGGATAACATTTTTCAAATTTGATTATTATTCTTATTTTTATTTTGCAGATTTCTTCTATCGGTATGTGCATATGCTCATTTTTAATTGGCCTTTCTTACTATCTTCAGGTTTAGCCTACTTCACTACTTATCTAACTAAATTGCTTTGTTTAATTTTTTTTTTTATATAAATTATTAGTTTTTTCCTCCATGAGCAGAAGTATGGTGAATTTCAGAAGTTTTGTTCCGTTATGTTAATCGTCGGTTTAGTGGTACGTAAATGCCAAACTTACTTTCCAGTCAATTAACCAATGGACCCAACCGGTTTATAATAACCGCTATACTGTATATTGCTTGATGAAACCACAACACTAATAGACCAAGTCATATACCAGGGTTATGTCTCATCTTTTGGCATTGGTCTAGGTGGACTACCATGGGTTATAATGTCTGAGGTATTTGTTTACTTTTCTGTTAAACTAAAAAAAAAAAAATTAAGTTCTTTCATATTAAATTTCATAATTGACTTGCTAAATTTGGCAGGTATTTCCGGTGAATGTGAAAATCACCGCCGGTAGCCTTGTAACGATGTCAAATTGGTTTTTTAATTGGATTATCATTTACAGTTTCAATTTCATGATACAGTGGAACGCTTCCGGTAAGATTCTACACATCAAAATTATAATTTTTTAATCTAATATAACTGCTCAATTATCTAGTAAACATAAGAGAATGATTATACATAGTTATTTTTATTGGATATTTAGGAACATATTTCATATTTTCTGGAGTTTCTCTGGTGACGATCGTATTCGTATGGATATTGGTGCCTGAGACGAAAGGCCGAACACTCGAAGAGATTCAAGCATCATTAGTCCGACTTTCGTAACTCTAAGTATGTATTAGTATACATATGTTATAAGTCTCTTAAATAGTCTTTTAACCGTATAATATTCGATTAAAAGATTGATAAGAGTTTTTCACCCACTTTGATTAAATAGTAATGGCTATGATTTGATCTAGAAATATTAATATGTGGTAATTTAATATTTGAAACTGTGATTTGTGAGGTCTAATCTTGATTAGAGTGACACATAGGAAACGTTAAAGTAAGGACAATAGACCGTCGCAGGCTAATGTAGAGATTAACGTTATAGTTTTGCAAAAGTTATGATTAATAATAGCACTTAAATTGTCCAATCACAAAGCCTACAACAAAAAAACACGAATGGGAAAAAAAAAAGACTAAAAAGACTCTTAGTAGAACTAGAAGGGAATTTAGTAATAACTATGAGAAGTTGAAGGACTGCGTTGTAAAATAAAAAAACATTGAGGAGTAAACTGCTAACTATAAAATGACACAAGCTACTCGCTAGTCGTGGTGTCGGTTTAGTTATCTCCTGGAAACTTCCCGGAGAAGGAGAAGAACTTTCAAGATTCAATGGTGATTCCGGCGACTTCTAGGTCTCTGGTCTTCTCATTTGTATTATATCAATTAGTCTCTATCATTTGACTTTTGATTTTCTTGTTTAGTCTTAAGTGTATCAGTTAATTGTTTAATACAAGTAAAAGTGTCTATATAAAAAATGGGTTTGACTAACATTCTTCTTTGTAATTACGTCTAGGTTTGGGTTTCGAGCTGGATTCGACACCAAGGAGTTTCAAGCTTTCTGCATCTCTCTCGCTAAGTAAAATCTCATCTTTACGTTTCCGTTGAATTCATCATTGTTTTAACCTAAAAAATCTTCATTTCTGGGTTTTTCGAGCTTCAATGAGAAATTTTTCTCCTGATTTGATGAATGCAGTGAAATCGATGCGGCTATTGGGAAAAATGATATTCCAGTGAATATTCAAGAGCTGGCTTTAATCCTCAATCATGTGTGTTTAATTTTTGTCTTGTAAAAGTTTCCAATTTTCAAGGTGCTTCTTCCTTTTGAATTTAGTATACTCTTGGTGCTGATGTTTATGTGTTACTCCATATGGTGTAGGTGTGCCGACGTAAATGTGATGATTATCAAACGAGTGCGGTGGTAATGGCGCTGATGATCTCAGCCAAGGTATAATAAAAGATAGAGTTAGAATTAGTAACTTTAGCTCAAGTCATTTTGGCAGAGTTTTTGCTGATTTGAATATTGGTTCTTGTATAGGTTACTTAGTTGAGGTGTATATGTAAAACTGTATTTGTGTTTCTCTCACAGAGTGCTTGTCAGCTTGGATGGTTCCCGCAGAGAGAGACTCAACAACTGTTGGCTATCATAGACTTGGTATGTTTCTTTCCAGCCGAATGTCTGATTAGAGAATAATCTGGATTCTGTGAATAATGATGTTTTTACTCTTGTTCAGATGTGGAATAGTTTCAGCTGTCCTGAAACTGTCACACCTGGTGTAAATAGCCCCGTCAGTCTAATATCGCAGGTCATAGAGAGGTAGGCTTCGATTTTCTTATGATATTTTAGCTAATAAGGATTGAGTAATTGAAAGTATTTGGCAGCTTCTCATATGTGTTCATTCTTTTATTTCAAATTAGCAAGGTTACTAGTCTATTACTGTAAAGAAAACTTGGTCACTAAAATCAAAACGTTGGTTTGTTTGAATCTCCATCTTTTCTGTCTATAGGTTCTATCCATGTGTGAAGCTGGGGCATATTCTTGTTTCTTTTGAGGCTAAGGTGACTTTATATATTATTCAGTTCTTAGCACCTTTTCTTTTTTAATGTGTGCTTTAGTTAGCTTTGTTTCTCCTGGCAGCCAGAATCAAAGATGTTGGTGAAGGACTTCCATATTTCAAAGGCGATGCCACATTCTCACAAACAGAGGGTAGTATGTATTGAAATTTGAGTATTGAATGTGTTTCTTGGTACCAGATTTTGCGTCTTCATTTAAATTTGTTTGGTCGCTCATATAGTACTGTGCATGTTTGGTTACTCCTGCATATATGTTTTTAATGCAATTAGGTTATAAGATGCATGAATGTACTTCAAAGCTTACCTTTAAGCTTTGCTCGTTGTGTCACTTCAGCATTTTATAGTTTTGAATCTTTGTTTATGTACCTGGTTCCTATACTCAATAGTTTATTATGGAATTTTGCTTGCTCTTCAGGGATTATTTGTGGTCCGGACAGAGGACATAAGCAGATCTAATTGTATTGTACATCCACAAGAAGTCAGGTGTGGTTGGATTGCTTTCCATTTTCCTCCGGATGTTTGTGAAGCAATTTTTATTATTTTTACCATATTGATTTACATTTGAAAATTACAGCTTTTTGTTAAATGGAAAGGGCGTTGACAAGAGAGTTAACATCTCAATGGTTTGTGCAATTCATTTGTTTCTTGGATATGTTTTGGAAGTACTTACTACTTACTATGATACAAGTAATTGTTTATCGTAATTTCTTTTCAGGAGTCTGGGCCGCAGCTTCCAACTAATGTTACTGCCCTGCTCAACCCTGGGGCAAATCTTCTACAAGCAATAGGCTGTTTTCGAGGTTTCTGTTCATTGAAGATATCATTTAACCCTCTTTATTTCCTCTCCTCATTTTCAGTAATAATGGACAGCTACTCATTTGCTATAGGTAGTTACTTAATTGCTATTGCTTTCATGGATGTCATACCGCTGCCCGACAAACCGTTGCTGAAAGATTATGTTCATCCTGAAGTCATTGAATCAAACTCAGGTATATCCAAGAGTATTTGGTGTCTAGGAGAAGAACCTATTCGTGTGATTAGTCTATGTATTCGTATAATTGTATTCCGAGAACTCCAGATCAACCATTGTTTGTCTTTTCCAATTTGTCTATAGATTGTGACATAATTGAGGGGCCATCAAGGATATCTCTCAGTTGTCCTATCAGGTATCTGGGGATGTCTTTCCTATGTAGCTTTATATCTCAAGAAGTTGCTTTCACAGTTACCTCAACCTTTTAAGATTTAATCATCACAATTATAACAGCCGAACGCGTATCAAACTTCCTGTGAAGGGTCATGTCTGTAAACATCTTCAGGTGATGCATTTTCTGTTAAGCATAAGAAATTATAGGATCATCATTGTTTTCATTTCTTAAATCATTATGAAAAGAACTATTTCATTAATACGTAACATTCAAGGCTCTGGTTTACTTCTCTGTTGCCATAACATGTCTTCTCAAAGTATGATTTTTGTAAGTTAATACGTTATAAATGTGTGACATCCTTGATTGAAAATTGCTAGTAAAAGGGATTGGCTTTAGCAAAATTAGAAACTATAGAAAGATTTCCCTCATCTCTGTTTTATATGTTTCTTTCTGCTGTAGTGTTTTGATTTCTGGAATTATGTGAACATGAATACGAGACGACCATCATGGCGCTGCCCGCATTGCAATCAGTCTGTTTGCTATACTGACATCCGAGTAGATCAAAAACTGAGAAAGGCAAGTAGCTTATTTTTGTTGCTTAGTGATACATCTTTTTACATTCTACACTGAATAAATAATCTTCGCTAATATCCACAGATTCTAGAGGAAGTGGGACGTAATGCTGCAGATGTGGTTATCTCTGCTGATGGAACATGGATGGTTGAAACGGAAAACGATGATGACGTGGAACTTGTGCCGGAAACCACTCATGACCATGGAGACCCAAATAGTTTCATAAACTTGGGGCCTACTGTTTTGAATCTTGCCAGAGATGAGAATGAAATGGAAACATCCGGTGGCACCCAAGTCGATGAACAGAATCCTTGTTTATCTGAGATTCAGGGTCCGTCAAATAACACACATAGGCCTGCTACAGATTACACTATGCTTAACCAGTCTTCTGCTTCAATCAACACACTGCCACAAACTCTGAACGCCTTTGATGGTCAACAATTCGTGAACTTACCACAAGTAGTAAACACCCGAGAGTCAGCAGCAAGACAAGCCTTACCTGTGACATTCTTACCAACCTCATCTCCACAAGATATATTAGCTACTAATGCGGCAAACTTTGGCACATCAATGCCGGCTGCTCAGTCTTCTCAGTTGCAAGGCTCACATGTTACTTCCCTTGGAAATTGTCAAGGAAGAACTTCTGATTTGATGGAGAGATGGAACCAAATCCATGGACGTGGCATAAATCAAACTCAATTGCCACCACCTGCACCTCTGTCGCAGCATCATTATGCGATGCAGGTTTGTCAACCATTACCCTACGGTTGCTTTTTGTTTGTTTGCGTAAATATCTGGTTAAGCTACATTACCATGATATCTTATCGACTTATACATTCCATCTACTGCAATCTAACATTTCGTTGCTGGTTACAACTTATAACAGAAATTATGAGCAATTCAAATGGAACGGTTAACACATGTTGCGATTTTCATCTGCTTCAGATTTGTTTTAGTCTAGGAAAGTTAGAACAGATGCCTGATCTTAATTACCATTTGGGCCTGCGAGGATCCGATCTCTAATCTCGCCTATCCATAAATTACTTGCTTGTTTAACCAACTCTGAAGTTTTTTCATTCTTATCTGTTTGCAGAATCAGAGCCCGTCCCCTGCACAGCAAAGACCAATACCATCTTACATTGTACATCCTCAAACTTTACCTGTCAACTATGGAGGGAACGCCCATCAAAGACCGATGCCATCTTCCATTGCACATCCTCAAACTTTACCTGTCAACTACGGAAGGAACGCTGACCAAAGACCGACGCCATATTCCATTACACATCTCCAAACATTACTTAACTACAGAGGGAACGCCCATCAAAGACCGATTCCATCTTCCATTACAAATCTCCAAACTTTACCTGTCAGTTACGGAGGGTATGCCCACCAAAGACCGATGTCATCTTCCATTACACAATCCGGAACTTCACCTGTCAACTACGGAGGGACCGCTGACCAGAGACCAATGCCATCTTCCATTACACATCCCCAAACTTTACCTGACAGCTACGGAGGGATCGCTGACCAAAGACACATGCCAAGACCGATCCCATCTTCCATTACATATCTCCAAAGTTCACCTGTTAACTACGGAGGGACCACAGACCAAATACTGAATCCTGGTGGTGCAATGGGACAGTTCTCATCCCGAGACTTCATGAATTTGACTCCTGCTAACACTGAGAATTGGCACCCACAAAGCCGGATGCGTGGCAGCCTAGCACCTGGTACGAATTATGACCATATGATCATTCGACCTACCCGTCCGGTTCTACCACTAGCTCAAACACTTCCTGCGCCTCTTCCTACAGCTTATAATGGAGCAGATGAAATTCAAGCATTTTTGGTGCACCCAAGCTATCCCGTTAGTAATAATGAAACGCAAGTGGGGGCTAGTTCATTGCCCGTGGTAGAGGGTCCTGGGTATTCAGGGTCGTTTTGGTCAATGCCTCCTGAGACATGGTGATATATGATGGCTTAGAGATTGTAGCACACGGTCACTAACAAAATCAGTCAGTAGTAAGTATATAACTAAGGCCTTTCTTTTTTGGTACTAAACAGCTTTAGGCTTCCGGTACATATATGGGGCAAGTTCTTGATGTAGCGTACCTATTTACTGTCACAATATAGCAGGTCCAGTTCGCTTTCTTCTGCACCGAGAAACTTTTTAGCTCACACAACCAGTTTACATCACTAGTGGGAGTAGTGGCTTTTGTTCATTGATACGTATTTGGTTTCAGCGGAAAAATGAGAAATTTATTGACTTTCACGAACTAACAGAACTACTTAAAGACGCATAAACCAAGCAGCAACCACAATATCCTTGGAAAGGTGTCAATCCATAGGACAAAAACGAAATCAGAGTGATTCCAGTTAAGTATTCAATTTAGGTTTTGCGAACAAAAAGAATTCCCATGGATTCACTAGTCTTCCTCGTTTTCTTCAACAACTCAGAAGCTCATCTAACCTAAAAAAGGTTGCAACTTCCGCACGTACGATCGATGTCATGAGTTTGAAAACCATCACCGTTGTTAAAAGAGTTCTTTATTACACACTACATTAGTTATGCTTCATTGTCTACAATGCCATTTATCATTTTTTTTGATATGTGTATCAGTCGAACACATGTACTTCAAATATATCGAATCAGTACCATAGTTAGAATACTAACCTGACTTAAATAAATTGATCCAAGTCGTGCATCGGTAGGTACGCTGTTCATCATACTAATTTAAAACGTGTGAAGTCGTGAACTATTGAAATAAAAATAATCAACTCATTTATTTATTCTTTTTAATCATGATCAAAGCTCATTTATTATTTTATCTTCTGATATTATAAGCAAATAAAAATATTGAAGGAATATTAATATACGAAAGTCGACAAGAGAAGAGGATATGAATGTATAATAGACAACCTGGTCGTTTATAGGTCTATCATTAAAGTTATCATGCAAGAATGCTACTAACCTAAGGTATGGAGAGGCATGCTTGGTATGCAAGTAATTAAGAAAGCAAAATCAAGACAAATTCAAATGAGAAGAGTGTTCTTCATTCTTGTTCTCGCGATTAATTGGGTTGATTATTATCCTAATAATGATCCGTTTATATTTACGCCCTTATTAAGGCTCATAATCTTTTTATCTCGGAACGAACGACAGGCCAGAAATCTCCCGCGATCAAGATGTTAACTTTGTCTATAGGCAAGAGAAAGAAAGATAGAATAGGCCCATATCAGGAGGGGTCCTAGTCCTTATCCTGACATTAATGATTAGTGAAGATACCGTTCCGATCCTGTTATGTCCTCACAAGTTTGGAATGAAATTTCATATATTTTCGCTGTTCCCCACTACATAAATCATATATGCAATAGCAAAAAAATCTTTTAAAAATTAAAATTACTTGTCTCAATTGTTTGATATTAGTCGGATTTACTGCCAGTTATTTGCTTTTGGATTCTTCAAAAAAGTGATGTGATATAGTTAAATAAAAACATTATAATTCAAAGCAACTTATATATATATATAATTTACTTTTTTTTTAATGTCTTACTTAAGTGAGAAAATTGGACATACTGTAATATTTTTGGACCTAAAACCAATGCATGTTAATACACCAACTTTGTATGCTTGATTATCTTCAATATCATTTTTCACTTTTCCTGACGTGTATGTTATTCAGATATGTACTTCCAATGGAATCTCGATTTTAAATGATGTACCGATCAATATAGTATCATAATAGAATTCATTAACCAAATTAAAATCCTAACCTAACTCAAATGTAGATCGACGTAGTACGTGCTTTGGTAGGTACGCTGATCATCAGACTAAAAACGTGAACAATTGAAATAAAAATTATAAGCATAGAAAAGTACTTAAGAGGGAAAATCAATATTGATATACGAATAACGACGATAGAACACGATAAGAATGTATAGGCAACCTCGTGTAATTGTACTAACATCTACCTATCGCATATTTTGGACATCTGAAGGAGAGAGAACGGATCCAATGTACCACGCTATTATTCCAATTAAACAAGTACATAATAATCGACTCACTTTTTTCTACAACAAATATTATATTTTCTATCTCAAGCTCCACTTGTTTAATACTATGTCACTTCTGTACAATATCCCCATGCTTGTAAAGTTTCCTTTTTTTTTTTTGGGGAAAAGCTTGTAAAGTTTCTTATATTCAACAAATAAGTCACATTCAATTTCAAACAAACCCATAGTTGCACAGTCCATATCAGTTTAACTCCTTTATTTGGAGAACAAAAACCCACCTTAGAGAACTGTATAAAAGACATAATATTTTACAAAATGATATCGATGTTTTCATTTTAAAGATCTGGAACTTAGTTTTTTGTTTTTAAGAATCTTTAAGACAACCACATTATACAGAATAAAGTTTGGACATATATAGTCAAATTGCAGTTTCATTTCAATCGAAATAAAAAATGTTTGGTTTAGTTAGCAGTTTATAGCACGATCGCATATATACACCTAATCCCGACGACAAACAATATGTGTTGGTATTGGTGTACAAGATTCTGTCCAAGGAAGTTGATTCTTTCACGATCCTTTGAAAATCACTCGATTCTCCTCTAAGCAGCCTTCACAAATATTAATTACCTAGTAGATATTAATAATTGTCTTGTTTAGCATAACTACTGTTGCTCTGTGGTTTATTGGAAAAGTTGTCCCTAGAGACAAAATTTATAATTATTTTCTATATTTGATAATTTAATTACTATACAAATTTTACAATTATTTCCAAGTAAATAATTTTCCTATCTCTTCCCATTCCCGAGACATTCTTTGCGCCATTCATTCCAACTTGAACATCATAGAATCTTGAAAATCATAGAATCCCAAATCAATTATTAATTTATGAATATGATTTTCACTTTAAATTTTGCTTGGTTTTCTGCAATCAAAGAAAAAAGGGAGAAATTTTAAGAGTAAATTTCGATATATTTTGGATGACTTGAATTTTAATTTACTCCATTTATTTAAATTTAGCGACTCTTATTAAAAAAAAATAGCACTTTCTATTCTTTCAAAAATCTCTTGATTAACAACATTCAAAGCTGGTAGTTACAGACGTCCATTTATAGTCAGGATCGATTTTGATTGTTTTTGTTCTACTACTTGAATTTAACAAGTTAAAGAACCATTTATCTTACAAATACCATGAAAAAATGAAAACTTGTGTTTACATTTGGTTCAGTTATTTCTATCCAATGCTAATTAAGATTTCTAAATCCAAATCCACTATAATTTGAAGTCAAACTGTCACCAGCTAAACTTTGTTAGTGCCAAAAATATGCGTAATAACAATAGATTTAATAATCGTCGAATATCAAGGATTAAAGATACTGATACTATTTAACGAAGACAAGTTAGTTTATTCATACTCGTAGTCGTAGGAAGCAAAAATAGACCATTCACTCCAAAAAGGACATACTAGAAGTTGAGGCCAATATAATAATCGATGTATTCACCCATTACTTGGCACATTAGTATTATTTATAAATTCTTTTAGGTCACACTTTATTATTGGAGTACCCACTTTATTGTGTCACATGGAACTAATGGACTAAAACTTGCAGATCATAAAAATGAGTCAGTAAAAGGAGGCTAAACATTAAAGAATCCCAACATCATGATACTTAAAGATACGAGTCATTAACTTTTTTTGTCCCAATTTCAATGAAAAATCACGTTTCTCATTGTTGCTACTGCTTCAAAGAGAAACAAAACAAAACAAAAATTGCAGAAAAAGTTAAGTTCATAGAGACACCTAATATCTTCATATATATTGGTATTATTATTTATTTTTGTTAATTCATATTGGTATTATCTGTGATAACAATATATTATGTTGTGTAATATGATACTATTTATGAACATTACATGTACAAAAGTATAAGTAACATGTTATTTTAAAAATTACAACACCTCTACCAATCTCTCAACAACCTCCCTTGTCAAGATATCGAAGACATAGAGAAGCAAAAAATAATGTCCCTTTGTTATTTTTTCGTAGAAAATAAAAAAATATCTCATGTTATCGGCTGATGTATCCTAAATTCCTAATACATCATAAATTGCATTTAAAAGCGTTACTGTTACGAATCGAGAAAAAAAAAAAAAAGCGTTACTGTTACGAACATGTGAAGCAAAAACACGGCGTTCGAGGATCAACAGACGCACCACACGTAAGCAAGCGTGCTACAAACTTACTTTCCGGCCAGCTAAACCAAGGGTATTATGGTCAATTCATGATAATATAATTGTCTTTCTTTCTACAAAAATAAAACAAAAACAAAAAAACTCATCTCATTTGGTATAATTTCTTTCTAAATGTTTAGTATAGAGCTCGTTAACACTTCAAATAAACTTTGCAATTACTAGTATCGGAAAACAAGCCAAATAACTATGGTTGATATTCTTCGTAATTGACGTATATAGTTAGTATGAAATAAGTCCTCCAGTCAAAAAGTTGAATGGTGAACTAAAACTGTCGAGCGATCAAATCATTTTTAGGTAGCTGTTGTTTTAATCCATCATATCAAATCTTTCAAAAGAACAAAAAAAAAATATCAACCATTTGGATAACGTGCGTTAAACACTCAAACCTGTTACCTCAGCAACAGAAAATGTGATAGTGACGAATAACGTTGATTACTTTGTAATTCCTTGATTTTCGTGAATGTAATGTGCTCTATGAGGTGGAGCCTGCTCATAACATTTGTAAGGCTACAAAATGAACATCGCTCTCTCTATTCGTTAACCATTCCTAAATCGTGTATATATCGTTATATCTTTTGTTTTTCTTTTTGGCAGCTTCTTTTGTTTTGTTTAAACGCCTAAAATTGCCTTTGATTGTTTTCCTTTTTATTGGTAGAATGAGATAGGACAATAAATACCTTTTTTGCCGGAGAAAAATTCAAGGTTGTTGATATGATTTCCTTGTTTCCGCAATTAGAAAGAGAAAAATTATGTCGTATCATATTAGATATTGACAAAAATGTCAAAATATATGAAGTGTGAGGAGAAACCGTTGATTGATTTGAACGTAAGACATTTGAAAAATGGATATGTAGTAGTTTCTAGATTTGCTTACAAGGAATGTTGAGTTGGATCATTTCTCTAACGCAATAGCTAACGTGCACGGCTTTTTTAATGTAAACTTCAAACAAACCACGATCAACGCGTTTACTATTTATTGCATGGAAACTATAGCAAGTGTGACAACTCATACCAATTTGTGATGAATTGATTAACCACGTATAGGAAGTATAATATTTGTAAGTTGATTAATTATTCACGTAAGAAATATTGTATTTTACTAGTATCCAGAATATTTAAGATCTCGTTTTACTAGTTGTGTGTTCAATATAATGTTTGACATTTTCTACTCGACTTAATAAAAAAATTAGTTTTACATTGACTAAATTCTGTTGTATATTATTTCTAATTAATTTTGACTTTGGGTAATCAAATTATAATATATTTTCGAAAAAAATTACATTGGATTTTTTTTCAAATGACACTTATATTGAAACCAAAATAGTACGTATACGCTCTAGACGATTCTAAATAGATGATTTGGCTCCACTCATTAATTTTAAAAATAATAATATTTAGTGTTTTAAATTTATAATTATTTAAATATTTTGGATGATGTCATTCAAATATTAAAAGAAAAATTTATCGTATATTTCTGTGTTTTAATATTTAAAATATTGAGGATAATTTTTGTTTAGTAATGACGTCTGAAGAATAGTACTGTGTTTGTGAAAAAAAACTGTTGTATAGTACTGTGTTTCGAATCAAATATGACTAAACAAATGGTTATCGGCTAATGAACTGGACCATAACAAAAAAACAAAGACGCAAACAAAAAAGAAAATCTTTTTTATCTGGCTTTGCTTGCTCCACGGATAAGAAAAATACTAGCTAGGATATCCTGATTTTTAGATAACGGTAGAACATGTGGCATGCATTTATTGTTTTTTTTTATTTTGAAATTTTTGATGAAGAATATAGTTTACATGGTTTGGTTTTATATATATATAAACAGACCAAAAAGACAAACCCAAACCTTAAACAAAACTTAATTAGACCGCGGGTTAACACAAAACGGGTTCACCAAATGTATCTAGACATTCACATATCTAAAATTCATCACAAATTTTCACTCAATTACGGTTTTGATTCGGTATAGGGAGTAGGGACCACTTCAAAGTTACCCAATGAAGAGTGGATAACAACTAGCATAAAATAATCAAAGCATCCACTAAGTCATAAAACAAAACAAAAAACAATTTCATAAAGATGATGATGAATCACATAACTTTAAATAAATATTCCTTTGACAAAAAAAAGAAAAAAAAACTTTATATAAATATCATACGCCAGTCGGCCAACCAAAAAAAAAATATCATACGTGTTGACAAAAAAAATATCATACGCCAGTCGGCCAACAAAAAAAGTCCAATTACAAATTTCAGAAATTTTAAAAATTTAAATAAGAAAAACATTAGAAGATACAATTTCAAATTAAAAAAAAAAAATACGTGTATATAAAATTGAATAAAAACCCAACAGAAACGTGACACAAAAGAAAAGATGGGAAGCTGACCTCTGGCTTTCCTCTCTCCATTAATCAAGGAATATATATTAGCTTTAAACTCAGTCCTCTAATGGAACCCATAAAAGCAAACATTCAAACAAATATTTATTCGTAAATATAACTTCAAAACCTTTTAAGAAAACTATCTCTGTTCTCTTTCCGAGGAGAAGTTAAAGAAGATGACTATGTCGGAGAACTCAAGAAACTTGGAAGCTGGTTTGTTACTGAGGAAGAACCAAAACGACATCAACGAATGTCGTATCACTGCTGTTGTACTTTTCAGTACTTTCGTTTCTGTTTGTGGCTCTTTCTGCTTCGGTTGTGCGGTTAGTCATCAATCCTTATTGATCTTTTAACAATTTCTCAATTTTCTTGTTCTTTTTCTTCTAAAAATCTAAAAATCTTTGATTTATGTGTATATAATAATGAATCTGAAATAAGAATATTTTGGTGTTGGAATTTACAGGCAGGTTATTCATCAGTTGCTCAAACAGGGATCATAAATGATTTAGGCCTCTCTGTTGCACAAGTAAGAAGCAACCTTTTTTTTTTATGATTCTTCACTCAAAAAGTGAAAAATTTGCTTAAACTTCTCTGTTTGTTTTACTTCTCCAGTACTCCATGTTTGGTTCAATCATGACTTTTGGAGGAATGATTGGTGCCATCTTCAGCGGGAAAGTCGCAGATCTCATGGGTCGAAAAGGGGTAAATTTTCTGACAAAAAAACTCTACAATTTGATATATACAAACATATATGTTTCAAGATCATGTACTGATGAATTTCTCTTAAACAGACAATGTGGTTTGCTCAAATTTTCTGCATCTTCGGTTGGCTTGCAGTAGCATTTGCAAATGACTCCATGTGGCTTGATATAGGAAGACTATCCACAGGATTTGCAGTTGGTTTATTAAGCTATGTGGTAATAATTCTTTTTTTACTTTTTTACTTTTCCATTTCTTTCTATATTATATACAGATTTTTGTTTTTACTGACTCCATGTTCACTCTGTTGCATCCAGATACCAGTTTATATTGCAGAAATAACACCAAAACATGTTCGAGGAGCGTTTGTATTTGCTAATCAGGTAATTATAGAATAATCAGGGAAACCCATAAAAGAGATATATTATAGTACTAATTTTCTTAAAATTTGTTCAAATGTCGTTACAGCTGATGCAGAGTTGTGGGTTGTCTTTATTCTACGTCATTGGAAATTTTGTTCATTGGCGTAAATTGGCCTTAATCGGTAAGCTTTTTTACTAGCAGTTTAGTTATGAAATTTTCATCAACAAGTGATTGAAGTTTTATCGGTTTCTGTCTCTCAGGTCTCATTCCATGTGCTTTGCAAGTTGTGACTTTGTTCTTTATTCCAGAGTCCCCTAGACTACTGGTATGTTTAGCTTAACAATGGACCCTTTTAATAGTTATGATCTTTTCAAAATAATGTATAAGTGATGATTCAATATGGTTTATAGGGAAAATGGGGACGTGAAAAAGAATGCAGAGCTTCATTGCAACGTCTTCGCGGAGATGATGCAGATATCTCCGAAGAAGCCAACACTATCAAAGTATTACTACTTTTTACACATCTCTCTGTTTTTCCATTTTTTGTTGTTTTCAATCAAACATGACTAATCATTGGAATTTCCAACTGTAGGAAACCATGATTTTGTTTGATGAAGGACCAAAATCGCGGGTTATGGATTTGTTTCAGAGAAGATATGCTCCATCTGTTGTTGTAAGTTTATTCTGATACGTTCTTTGTGACGAAATAATGTTGATTTTCTCTTGTACCATTACTTACTCTCTGAAATTTTGTGACATTTTGCTCAGATTGGTGTGGGACTAATGCTTCTACAACAACTCTCTGGAAGCTCAGGACTTATGTACTATGTCGGTAGCGTATTTGATAAAGGAGGTAAATAGAAAAACAAACTCTGTTTTGCATGTTAAGATAATTTACTGTCTTCATTGGAGTAACATTTTTTTTTTACTCATCACAGGATTTCCAAGCAGCATAGGCTCAATGATTCTTGCAGTGATCATGGTATGTCTTTGTACATAGCTTCATTTATTCGTGATAAATCTTGCCAAGAATTACACTTATGCTCATGTGTTCTGATTTTGTAGATACCAAAAGCTATTTTGGGTCTGATTTTGGTTGAGAAAATGGGACGAAGACCTCTTCTATTGGTAAGATTTTGCTATCTCTTTTGGTCAAATATCAAATGAAGAAAATAATTTTAGCATATCTTTTAACAGATGAATAATCTTTTTACTACAGGCCTCTACCGGTGGAATGTGCTTTTTCAGCTTACTCCTTAGTTTTTCCTTCTGCTTTCGGGTAATTAACATTGACGATTCTCTTTATAACAAAAGAGATATACAAACTTTGGTTGCTGTCTTTGGAATTTACTCGTTATACTTAATTTTTCTATTTTTGTTCTTCGACAGTCATATGGCATGCTTGATGAGCTCACTCCGATTTTCACATGTATCGGTGTAGTGGTACGTATAAAATCACTTTTTCGACATAAACAAGCAACTTAAAGTAATGCTCTTGTATAAACTGATACGACTTTTACATCATATTACAGGGTTTCATCTCTTCATTTGCCGTAGGCATGGGAGGCTTACCATGGATCATCATGTCTGAGGTAAACCAACATTAACTTCCTTAGAAATCCTCAAAAATCCGCTATATACTTTTTTTCAGTTCTAAAAATGTATAACATATGATATTTGCAGATATTCCCAATGAATGTTAAAGTTTCTGCTGGGACTCTGGTTACCTTAGCCAACTGGTCCTTTGGTTGGATTGTAGCTTTTGCCTACAACTTCATGCTAGAGTGGAACGCATCAGGTATAAATACATACACTCTATAGTCATTAAACTCTCAAACTTTATTAGATCTTGATCTGATTTTTGAAGTATATATAATCTGCTTCAGGAACGTTCTTGATCTTCTTTACTATATGCGGTGCGGGTATAGTCTTTATTTATGCGATGGTACCCGAAACTAAAGGAAGAACATTGGAAGATATACAAGCTTCTCTTACAGATTTTCTACAATGAGAACAACTTTTACCTGTTTAAAGTTAATCATTTTTTTTTGGATTAAAATTGGGGGGAGGTTTATAGATTTTGTTATACATGTTACCTCATTTGATGGCAATTGAGAAAGAGATCACTATAAGGTTTAGATATCTCTCTTTCTCTCTGTCTCAGTTAATTACTCCAATGTATGTATAGGCCCATTTTTACACCCAAAAAAAAAAGTAATATAAAATTGAACTTTAAAGTTACTGGCTTTTTGCTTTCATTGTATATTAATATTTAACAATTCAAAAAAATTTCACTTTTACTAGTTGCTATTAATCAATCTACCAGTTCTCTGAAACCTGTAGACAGACCCACAGTTTCTACTTTTGGATTTATTTGTTCTGTATGTGTTCCATAATTCCGGCCTCATTCCTATAGTTGGATTGATTTGTGAGGTACTATTTCCTTATTAAAAATCATTGTTCTGTTTTTTCTTTTCTCGATAGCATGGGGTTTTAGATACGGATAGTGATAGGGCAACATATATAACTAGGTTAATTCTTATCCTCTTTAAAAGTTAGTAAAGAATAAAGATAAGTTATTTCCTTTTAAGGTTTCAAAAATTAGGTTTTCTAATTCTCTAGCCAGACGTCATTAAGCTATCGCTGTGCCAACCAGATTTGTGGTAGGTTAAGTGCATCTGATCTACTTGCATAAATCATAATGATCAATCCTTTTAATGTTTAACCACCTTTCTGATATTTCAATTATCTTGACTTTTTCATTTCGTTAGTTAATTGCAAAACTATTGAATTTATAGTCAGTTAGTAGTAATATCTTGCAAGTGGCGCATGTAATCAACTTAATTATCCATAAAGATGTTCTTTAAATCTGATTACATACTAAATTATCTTAGCTGACAACTTGTGCACGTACCAGGCATGATTTGTGAAATGGAATCACTATTATACAGTCGGACTTTCTAATCGTTGACTAGTCGATGCAGCGATGCTTCTTTTCATATGTAAATATTCCAGTAGATGATAAAGATAAATTAGGTAAAAACCTTAATTCCATTATTTTCCTTTTCTTATATTCCATTATGTTACTTACGTTCCATTTTTAGGAGAAATAAGAAGAATAACCCAAGTTAAATGCGACCTGATACGAACTAAAAAAACTAGTTAATGGAGATAAAACTTTCAATTGATGATGGAAATCAAACAAAAAAAAAACTAAGCTGAGATTTAAGCATAATTAATAGAGGATTTTTTTTAATGTAAATAGTGTGAATTTATTTTTTGTGTTTGTCAACAACATGAATTCGAGTAGTTACGCATCCACGATATAACACAGATCATTGATTTACATTGTGATATTGATTAGGTTTTGTTCAATGACTTAAACAAAACTAATTGGGCCTATAATTGTTGGGGCTTGGAAGTCCAACTCTTTTTAGAAGATATTTGGCAAGAAAATGGGGCAAAGCAGAAGTTTGATTTGGGATATGAATTCAATGTAATATTTTAATGATAGAAAGGTCCAAAAACAAATTTTGTCCAATGGCCTTGATTTGTATTGGACCGGCCTTGCTTTCTCTTTCGCTTAGACAAGAGCCTTTTGATCTTCTTAAATAGTTGTTATAATTTTGCAAACGGCACATGACATTTGGTAATTTTCGTATTTGTTCTTCAGACTTTTGTATGGACCTAATTAAATCTTGAAAAATTACTGACAATTCTAAATTTAACTGAATCAAAAATAATATTTTCACACATACAAAGTACATATAACTACTAAAAGCTAAGGTTTTGACTTCATAAATGATTGAAATAGCTATTGATATTTGTTCAAACCATGCTTCAGATTGAGTTTGTTCAAACCATGCTTCAGATTTCATCCAGTAATTAAATATTTACATCAGGAAATTAACCACAAGAAACATCTATATAGGTAGAAAAAATGAGCATGGAAGAGAGAATGTTGGTCCCTGTTAATATTTCCAATAGAGGTGTAAAGCTTCTTCGAGTATATGTATACAATGCAATAAGAGCATCTCCAACCCACCTCTATATTTGCCTCTAAACTCTATTTTAAAGGCAAATTTACTCCAACCCACCTCTATTCTCACCTCTAAAATAGAGATCTCTATTTTTTTCTCTATATATAGAGGTGAGAATAGAGAATCTCTATTTTTTCCCCTATAAATAGAGATAAACTTTTTAGAGGAAAAAATAGAGAAACACATTGGAGTAAAAATAGAGAAAACTTACCTCTATTTCTATAATAGAGCTAAAAATAGGGAAATACATTGGAGATGGTCTAAGAACATTAACTTGATTACATAGTTACTGGATATTATACATGACTATTTTTCATTATAAAAGAAATTGTTTAATTTTCTTAGATAAATTAGTAGTCAGTAGAATTAAATTATTAAAGTAATCTAGGACAAAGTTGCGGGCATCATTTTTTTCTTTCGAAAAAGTGATGAAAAAGACATGTATTCGGTCATGCAGCTAACATGAACCTTCCGTTCGACTTCTTCACTCCACTGTTTGTTGCATTTCTGACCGGTAGAACAAAGGCCCCATAAAACAATTATGCAATATAAAATTACTTGTTATATATATATATATATATATATATATATATATATATGTATGTATAGTCAAATATGGCGAGATTCTGATCACTTTAAAATTCATTTAGATACTTGAAATGGATCAACTTCATAGGTGTGGATCCTTGGACGCATATGGAGAATAGTCAAATATATGAATTCAGAAAAAAAGAAAACAAAGGGTGGTCGACCAACAACGACTTTTCAAATCATCAATAAATGATAAAGACTGATAAACTTTCTCTCTTTCACGTTATTTTTAGTATATCTTACTACCTATACAAATAAACATATCAATTTATATTTTCGCATGAAGGCATAATCATATATAACTTTTAATAAACATAATTCAAAATAAAAACTGTACAAACATTTTCTTTAACGTAAAAGCAAAGACGATGATTATCTACAATAAAAATCAAACCCATACTGTGCATGGATGACTGGATCTAAATTCCTAATCAAAACAAAACTAATTAAGATTAAAAAAATAAAGACGTCTTGATTATTGAACCGTTTTCTTATAATATACGCGGGACGACCTATTCCAATATTTAATAAAATGCTACTACTACACAAAATAATAAGCGAACACAGTTTGATACTTGGATTTGCCCAAGACCACGACCAAGTCCACTGAATATTAAAAATCGAGCAAGAGTTAGAAAATTATTTATGACGTGTAAATGATAAAATATCCAATTGTCGAGAGACCAGTTGACAAAAACATCCAATCCTCAAGTTGCATAAGAGCTACTCAGAAACTTCGAAGTTCCTCACAACTCTTCACTTTTCTTATATCTGCTTTCCAAAAGAGAGAAAATTAACCAAGAAAAGAAAAAAGAAAAAGAATAAAAAGAAAAGAGAAGAAGCAGGAGATTTCTTGAAATGGAGAGACAAAAGAGCATGGAAAAAGGGTTACTGAGGAAGAGCTTAAGCATACGAGAGAGAAAGTTCCCTAACGAAGACGCTTTCTTAGAAGCCGGTTTATCGAGGAAATCTCCGAGAGAGGTCAAGAAACCTCAAAACGACGATGATGAATGTCGTGTCACCGCCTCTGTTTTCTTCAGCACCTTTGTTGCCGTCTCTGGCTCCTTCTGTACCGGTTGTGGCGTAAGTCTTCTTTTCTCGATTCGATTTCGGTTTCATACCAACCGGTTTTCATTATCTTCCTAGTTTCGGTTTTTACTCTGAATTTGATGTTGAATTTACTGAACCGGCTTAATTTATTGGTTTTGTAGGTTGGTTTTTCATCGGGTGCTCAAGCAGGGATTACCAAAGATTTATCTCTCTCCGTTGCAGAAGTAACCAAATAATTATTACTCTATAGTTTAATCTTTAGTTTTTCAAAATGTAATTTTCTAATTTGACCCTATTTTATTGGATTATACAGTACTCAATGTTCGGGTCGATCTTGACTTTAGGAGGCTTGATCGGTGCAATATTCAGCGGCAAAGTCGCTGATGTCTTGGGAAGAAAACGGGTAAATTACGTTTCGGTTTTGATTTTTGTGAACCAAAACCAAATTCATGGTTTGGTTTGACTCGTACCGGTTTTTACTTAACCTTTTCCCCACTTTTTCTGAAAACAGACGATGTTGTTTTGCGAATTCTTCTGTATCACAGGCTGGCTTTGTGTAGCATTGGCTCAGGTTTTTTGTCTAAACTACTTGTTGTTTGTCTTTGCTTTCTTGTCAGTTGTCACAGTTTATTTATATTATCCTTTTATTAATTTCTCTGTGCTTTTTTAAATTATTTTATTTTATATTAATGATTTTGAAGAATGCAATGTGGTTGGACTGTGGAAGATTGTTACTTGGAATCGGCGTTGGTTTATTTAGCTACGTGGTAATTCCTCTTATTCTAAATTTATTCTCAGCAGACAAAACTTTTAAAACTAAAATACTGATACAAAGTTGTGTTTCATGTAGATTCCGGTGTATATAGCCGAAATTGCACCAAAACATGTCCGAGGATCGTTTGTGTTCGCTAATCAGGTACGTAAATTTCTATCTAGTGTTATCTTTGGAACAGTAACTTTGTTATAACATGTATTTTTGTTAAAATGTGTACAGTTGATGCAAAATTGCGGAATTTCACTCTTCTTCATCATTGGAAATTTTATTCCATGGAGACTACTAACAGTAGTCGGTATGATTCTGTTTAGAGATTGTCATAAAGTTTTTTTAAAATGATAGATGTAATTCAAACGGGTCACTTTAACATTATGTTTGTATGTTTCCAGGATTGGTGCCATGTGTGTTCCACGTCTTTTGTTTATTTTTCATCCCCGAATCTCCAAGATGGCTGGTAAGTTTTTTTTATTTATTTTATATTTGCATATATAGTATTGGTTTCTATGATTATAACCAATCAAAAGCCGGTAATCTTTTGAAACTTGGTTCAAATATTTGTAAATATTTGCTGGCTTCTTCAAATATAGTTTTGTGCATATGACAGGCGAAGTTAGGTCGTGATAAAGAATGCCGATCTTCGTTGCAACGCCTTAGGGGATCTGACGTCGATATTTCTCGTGAAGCAAACACAATTAGAGTATGAAAATATTCCATTCATCTTAAGTTTTTGTATCTATTAATTTACTAATGTTGGGTTTCCAACTTTTTTCAGGATACCATTGACATGACAGAAAACGGTGGTGAAAGTAAGATGTCTGAATTGTTTCAGAGACGATACGCATATCCGTTAATTGTAAGTATTTTGACCTAATGAAAACAATTATATTGGATAGTGGTTGTGTTAAAAAAAACATGATTGTTCAATTGCTTTTGAATTGGTTATAAAACATGACAACATTTTAAATAATACTTACATATATATCTGTATTCAGATCGGAGTTGGTTTAATGTTTTTGCAACAATTGTGTGGGAGCTCCGGTGTTACCTATTATGCTAGTAGCCTCTTTAACAAAGGAGGTATTTTAATTGATAATATGAATATTTCATGTTTAAGTTCAATCCAATAAATATTCTGAGTTCAATCCATTTTAAAAATTTAACTTATATATTTTATTTTCAGGATTTCCAAGTGCTATTGGCACATCCGTAATAGCCACAATTATGGTAATTTTTCAATAAGAAAAAAATAATAATTAAAACCATTAGAGAAATTCCAATATGAAAATTGAAATATTTATTTGATTATGTTTTAGGTTCCGAAAGCGATGCTGGCAACAATCCTCGTCGATAAAATGGGGAGGAGAACGCTCCTAATGGTTAGATTATAAATTTTTGATTCAATTAAGTATTATTAGTTATGACTTTTCTTCATCAGACTAAAGACTAGCTAATCTTTTATATAAATTTAAACAGGCTTCTTGTTCTGCAATGGGTTTCAGTGCTTTGCTCTTAAGTGTTTCTTACGGTTTCCAGGTAATTTTAATTATACGTATATGAATAAATAGTTTAATGAGAATATAATTTCTTAACAACAATATGAATAGAAATATGCACCTTTTTCTCTACCTAATTATATCTTCAAAATTTTGTTAAACGTTATGCAGTCGTTTGGCATTCTTCCAGAACTCACTCCAATCTTCACTTGCATCGGCGTACTGGGTCACATTGTGTCATTTGCGATGGGAATGGGAGGACTACCATGGATTATAATGGCTGAGGTATACCAACATTAATATTTCTGTGTTTTTATTAAAATATTTGTTTAAGAAATGTTACTAACGATTAGTGAACTATATATGACCAAAATTTAGAGCATAGTGGTTAGTTACACCCAAGTTTCAACTAGAAATGTGAATTTGGAGTTATATACAACAATGACAACAACAAATAAAAATTTATTTCGTTTGCAGATATTTCCTATGAATGTGAAAGTGTCAGCTGGGACCTTAGTTACCGTAACCAATTGGTTATTTGGTTGGATTATCACATATACTTTCAATTTCATGCTAGAATGGAATGCATCAGGTAAATACTTATATATAAACATGTTAGCATAATTCTCATTAATACTATTATGGTTCTGTTAATGGATGATTGATTGTGTTATATTTTGTTTATTTGTTTAGGAATGTTCCTCATCTTCTCAATGGTCTCCGCCAGTTCGATCGTATTTATATACTTTTTGGTACCTGAGACGAAAGGCCGGTCACTTGAAGAAATACAAGCATTGCTCAACAACTCTGTGCAATAATATTATTTTCTTTTTCTTTTTGGGTAAATGATCATATAAGTCGATTGCTGTTACTGCTGGTGTGAGTTTGAATGTGATTCGTGTACGTATCTAATTTTGGATGGGAAATTTGAAACAATAAAATTGTATATTTCCCGTTTGGGAAAAATGTATGGATTTGGTTAGTTATATGCAAAAATTTTGTTGTAAAAGTTCATAAAGAAAAAATTAAATACATAGAGATGTTAAGAAAACAATTGCAAAATCATGTTTAGAGGACTCGCTCGCTTGTAGCAAAAAAGTGAGAGAAAAAATCACTAGATTTGATTGATAATATGAAAGTCAACGATGTTTCGTCTTAAAATGTGATTCTGCATGTAAAGTTACCAATGGTAAAAAAACGGTTAGTTGTCTTTCGTAAACACTTTTCTCATTTTTGCATAATGTGAAACAGAGTGGGATCATAAACAGAGTCGCCTCTTGAGAACGTGGTCTCGTATGGTAGGCTCTAAATTTTTGACAAGACATAATAATCATCGATCTCTCCACTATAAATAAAAACAAATCTAATCTTAACGATAAAGAAAAAAAAAAGAGAGAGATAGAAAAAATGGTGAATGAGAAGAAGATGCTCCCAAAACGCATCATACTAATGCGCCACGGTGAGTCAGCCGGCAACATTGATGCAGGGGCTTACGCGACCACACCTGATCACAAAATCCCTCTGACCGAAGAAGGACGAGCGCAGGCGCGTGAAGCCGGGAAGAAAATGAGAGCCCTCATATCAACTCACAGCGGCAGCGCGTGTGGAGAGAATTGGCGCGTGTACTTCTACGTGTCGCCGTACGAGAGAACGAGGACGACTTTGAGGGAAGTAGGGAAAGGATTCTCGAGGAAGCGCGTGATAGGAGTGAGGGAAGAGTGTAGGATTAGAGAACAAGATTTTGGGAATTTTCAAGTGGAAGAGAGGATGAGAGCTGTGAAGGAGACAAGGGAACGTTTCGGTAGATTTTTCTATCGTTTTCCCGAAGGTGAATCTGCCGCCGACGTCTACGATCGTGTTTCTAGTAAGTTCTTTAAATTTTATTATAGTGGACATTAGATACGAATATTGATGCTTGCATTATAATAACATTGAATATTAGTTTTGAATTCGACAAAACATAATAATTAATTATAAGAAAGGTAGTGGAATCATATAATAACTCGAAATGGTGTGTTTGGTCAAGTCTACTTTCAGGACTTTTTGACATGAGAAAAGAAGACGTAGTTTGATTGGTTTTCGAGTTTGTTGATTTTTTTGGGGGAACGTCTTCGTGTAACGTACGTATTCTATGTATAAACTAATAAGAAAATCATTTTACGGAACCAAAATGTGATAGGTGCAACTGGTGAAAGTTGTAGATGTAGACTAATTTATCTAGAAATTAGTTTGTAAATTTTTAGGCTGTTTCTTTAAATTAGTTTTTATTTTAATTTTGATCAGTTTTCATCTTCTCTAGTAACACTAGTACATGTAAAGTGGGATCAATGTCAAAATTTTCATATATTACATAATTTCATGGATGTTATATAACATTGATCGTTCAATGTCTCACCTCATTTGAAAGGTTTTCTGGAGTCTATGTGGAGAGACGTGGACATGAACAGGCATCAAGTGGATCCATCAAGTGAACTAAATCTAGTGATTGTGTCCCACGGACTGACCTCTCGGGTGTTTCTAACGAAATGGTTCAAGTGGACGGTGGAAGAGTTCGAGCGGTTGAACAATTTTGGGAACTGCGAGTTCAGAGTGATGGAGCTGGGTGCGAGCGGAGAGTACACTTTCGCGATACACCATACTGAAGAAGAGATGTTGGATTGGGGGATGTCTAAAGATATGATTGATGATCAAAAGGAACGTGTTGATGGTTGCCGTGTAACATCTAACGATTCTTGTTCATTGCATCTCCATGAATATTTTGATTTGTTAGATGTGACTGATGATGATGAAGAATAACAATTATGTACATTGCTAAACATTGTTTTTGCGTATGGAAATTTAATATTTATTTCATTTGTTTGTTGGTTTTGTTAAATATCGAGTTAGTCCAAGATTAAATTGGAATTCACATTACTGTCAAAGGCAACGATGGGCACGTAAGAGACATCAGTATTTAAGATAACAAGGATAAACAAAAAGGGCGTTTGGTCTAGTGGTATGATTCTCGCTTAGGGTGCGAGAGGTCCCGAGTTCAATTCTCGGAACGCCCCCTTTTTTATTTTTATTTTAATTCTGCGCAGATTAGCGTAAATGACGTAAAATGATTACAAAGGAATTCTTGTAAACATTATTAAATTACCAAGTTTATGAATATTCAGTGACTAATTGACTTATCTTTGTTCACATTGAGGAAAAAAGAAACTTTTTATTTTAACATGGAACAATCAGATCTCTCAGCGAAACTCAATCAGATGCGACAACAGTATCTGCGAATCAGTTGCTAAATCTGTAAAATTCAAAACTTGGTTTTGCTGTTCATGATTTTGAAACCTGAATCTGAATGGCATGGAATTGATATCTTCTTCAACCATTGGAAACTCAGCTCTGTGTTTAACCCTAATCTCCATTCTCATCTTCTTCTTCCTCTTCACTACAACCACCATTCCCACTTTCCCGGATCATCCTCTTCGTTCTCTTCTCGACGAGTCCCAAATCACTACGAACACTAGCTCAATCGTTAATCCTAAATCCTCTTGTTTCTCCTCTAGATCCCACGATAATGGCGGCGTCATCAACTATTTCTCCCTCCATTACTGTATCTTCAACGAAAACCTATTCTTCTCAATCCCAATCTTGTCTCTTCTCATTCTTCTTCACTTTTACATACTTATCAAAACCGCTCAGACTCACTTCTCCACCGTCACTACAAAGCTCGCCGATCGCCTCAATCTCTCTCCCAGTATGGCTGCTGTGACTCTCTTAGCCTTAGGTAATGGCGCACCTGACGTGTTTGCCTCTGTTGCTGCTTTGCGTGGTGGTCAGTATCGAACCGGATTCGGAGCTATCTTATCTGCTGGAACTTTCGTCTCTGCCTTTGTAGTTGGGTTCGTAGCGATCTATGCTGCGCCGTTTCCGGTGGACGCTGCGTCCTTTGTCAGAGATGTGCTTTTTTATTTGATTGCTGCTTCGTTCTTGTTCTATGTGTACTTGAGTGGCGAGATATTTGTGTGGCAAGCTATAGGGTTTGTTGGGTTTTATATTTTCTTCGTTGGCTTTGTTTTCTGGATGGATTTTGGTACCAATGTTGAGAAAGGGAAAATTATCAGTGAGGAAGAGAAGGATTTGTTGAGACTTCAGGATTGTGAGATTGCTTCAGGTCCTCTTGAGAGTTATAAAGCAGAGAAAGACCATCAATTTTCCGGAATTTTTCGGCTTTATGGAATGGTAAAATTCTTCTTTACTCATCTTTGAGCTTCGTTTATTGATCATTATGCTGGAATTTTTATGGTAGCATCATCTTCAGCAACTAACTGTGAACTCTGATATTCCTTAGTTTAGATTATGTGCTTTTGATATGCATAGGAACTTTATCGGCAGAGATTTTGAACTCCACACAAACAGATTGTTAAAAACAATATCAGAAATCAAATCTAAACCTTTAAGAATTGACTTTAATTCCATGAATGAATAACACCCCCTTAATTTACTAAAAGGTTATGGTAAGTCTTTGTGCTAGTCTAGTGAACGAGCATTGTCTCTTGCTTAGGCGGTTTCCACTGAATTGTAGCTGTGTTGACAGCTCAGGAACAATCGTTAGATCGGTTAGCTAGAGATCTAACATGTTAGAAAGAAGTTGGGCAAAATGTATGTGTATTCCTTTGGGGATTTCGACTTTAAAAGAGTTTACCGGTTTGGATTCTATCAGGTTACTGTAATTTACTTTTTCTGTTATACTGCATCTGTATATAAGTTTGAAAGAAGTTTGAGCTATTTTGAATTTGAAGTTAAGACCCGGTTGTCTGATTTTGCTTTTGCTGCTGTGATTGCAGATCTCGAGGATTTGGGAGACTCCTGTATCAGTTCTTTTGAACCTTACCATCCCAAAACCTTCTCCTTCTGAATGGTCTAGGTTTTATCGTTCTGCCAACATTGTTTTCTGCCCTTTTGCCCTTTTATACACCTGCAACTCTTTTGTACAACTAAACCACCCAATTTCATTCCTTTTTCCAAACACCCATCTCCCGCTTTGGCTTGTTGTCCTCTTCATGACGTCTTCCCTAGCGTTCCTCCACTTCACAGTAGAGAAACAACCACCAAAAACCGAGCAACTGCCGGTCATCGTTGTAGCTTTCATAATGAGTGTTTTCTGGATATCAACAATTGCTGGTGAGCTCCTTAACTGCTTGGCTGCTCTTGGAACCTTGCTTAAACTGCCTCCGGCACTCCTTGGCCTAACCGTTCTTGCTTGGGGAAACTCAGTTGGTGACCTAGTTGCAGACGTGGCAGTTGCAAAGGCTGGTAGACCAGCAATGGCTATGGCCGGTTGCTTTGCAGGTCCAATGTTTAACATGCTTGTTGGACTTGGATCGGCCTTGGTGATGCAAACCGCTAATGTGTATCCAAACGCTTACAAACTTGGATTCCATGTAGGTATTGTGATCGCTTTCGTCTTCTTGTTGCTTAGTCTAATGGGCTCTCTGTTGGTTATAACCTGGTCTAGATTCCGAGTTCCGAGATTCTGGGGGATCTGTCTTGTTGGACTGTATGTTGCTTTCACGTTTGTTAGTTTGATCATAGCCAGCGTTTCAAGTTGATCATATGCGTGAAGTCTGCACATTGAATAATCTTGGGTCAAGCAGAGTTTCATTGTTTAGGAATTTTTGTTGTCTCGAAGATCAGCTAATGCCCACTGCCAGGGCGGTATTCTCCGAATCCCACAACCAGTTCTTGTGATCGTCTGAGGCAGAGTAGGAAAGTTGGGTAGATAGGTGATGGTAAAATACATGTGAAAAGCAAAGGATATGCAGATCTTTTTGGGAGAAGATGTTGAATTCCCCAACCGGTTTAGTGAACCGGTTTACCATTCTATTGATTGTACTGGTCTTGTTTTTTTGGGTCTGGTATATGTATAAACCACACATTTGTATTCTTTTGATATTAATGAGAAATTAGAAATACTTCCCCTTCACTAAGTCTCTCCATCCTAAAAAGTAGTAGTATTAGAGCAGAACAAAATGTTGATTCTGGTTCATTTTTATGTGATGGGATTCTCTGTGAATGCCACATATGTTGTGATACAAAACTCCTTCCTTGTGAACTTTTTTAACCTCCAAAAATCCAGACTGTAAATGCAACAATAATAACAGGGTTGCCAATTAAATCCTAAGAAATAGTAATAAATTAATGTAAGAGATAAAACAAATCATCATCTGACAGCAGCAGAAGAATCTTGACATAAGCCCAATGGTTGACACAACACCCAGCTTTTAAAGCTTCCACTTACTTACTGCTTCCCTTTGTCTTTCTAAATTCCTCATTGTTAAAGTCGAAAAAGGGTAAAGCAGCAAAACCCTAATAAAATCACAGCAAATTAACACAAAACCAGATCTTAAGACTCTCTCTACCCACCAAGAGGATCAACTACTCTCTTCCCCCTTCAGATTCTCCCTTCCACAGGTCACTCTCGTTTGCAGATTCTTTATTTTTATATTTAATTTGACCTGTTCTTACTTATATTTTGTGGAATTCACATGATTAAAATAATAGGCTTAGTGTTGTAGGAACAATCTATCTGTTCTGGTTAGCAGATTCTCTGTTCTATCTATTTTGAAGGAAATTAAAGACAATCCCTTTCGATATATTTTCCTTACCAAATTTATTGGTTCAAATAAGTAGGTTGATGTCCTGTCTTTAAATTCGAAGCTCAATTTTCATACTGATTGCTGTTTAGATCCTCTGGGTTAATCTAGAAATACTGGTTAAACCATATATAAGTAAAGTCCAGCAGATTCTTGTTTTTGTTAATTGTTGGCAACCTTATCTCCTTGACATTTCTTTAAAATTCTGGTCAGATGTGTCTTAAGTGCTTAGAATTAATCACAACTTTTGTTTTTTATTCTGGTAGAGAATGGATCAACAAGAACATGGACAGTCTGGAGCTATCAACTACGGCACAAACCCATACCAAACCAATCCCATGAGCACCACTGCTGCTACTGTACCCGGGGGTGCGGCACAACCAGGCCAGCTGGCGTTCCACCAGATTCATCAGCAGCAGCAACAGCAACAGCTGGCACAGCAGCTTCAAGCATTCTGGGAGAACCAATTCAAAGAGATTGAGAAGACTACCGATTTCAAGAACCACAGCCTTCCGCTTGCGAGAATCAAGAAAATCATGAAAGCAGACGAAGATGTCCGTATGATCTCAGCTGAGGCCCCTGTCGTGTTTGCAAGGGCATGCGAGATGTTCATCTTGGAGCTGACACTCAGGTCGTGGAACCACACTGAGGAGAACAAGAGGCGGACATTGCAGAAGAACGATATTGCCGCTGCTGTGACTAGAACCGATATCTTTGATTTCCTTGTGGATATTGTTCCCCGGGAGGATCTCCGCGATGAAGTCTTGGGAAGTATTCCGAGGGGGACTGTCCCGGAAGCTGCTGCTGCTGGTTACCCGTATGGATACTTGCCTGCAGGAACTGCTCCAATAGGGAACCCGGGAATGGTTATGGGTAATCCCGGTGGTGCATACCCACCGAATCCGTATATGGGTCAACCGATGTGGCAACAACAGGCACCTGATCAACCTGACCAGGATAATTAGCAAGAAACTGTGAGTCTTCCAGCTTCTTTTAGGCCTACCTTGTATTGTAGGGGTTTGGGGTTTTTTTTGGTTTTTAAGGTTTTCGGTTTTCGAATAATGGTAACCTTTGTATAACCTATTTCGATATCGCATCAGTTTGGTACGGTGTCAGTTTCGGTGTTCCAATTTTATTGAAGTAAAATGTGATAGTCTATTCACTTATTTCCTGCAGCGTTCAAGTCTCGTTCAGGTGGAATTAAGAAAGGTGGAGACTTTAGACAAGAAAATGAAAAGAACATATCAGAAATTTCAAATTGGTTGTTGTAGAAGAATCTAAGTGTTTATGTCTATCGATCCTTTCTTAAAGGAGAAACTTAGGGATGAACCAGAAAGAAGAATGTATAAACTGTTAGAAACGAGTGTGCTTTGACAAAGTTTTTTATTTGAATGTTAATTTGTCTATCTTTATTACACTTATTAACCACAAAAAGTATCTCATTGGATATTTAAAAATTAAAACAAAAGGACAATAATATTAAGGAAAAGACAAAACAGAAAATGACTTGGCCACTGTATCCTCGTTGATAATGTGATAGCCTTCATCTACAACAAGCGTTACTTGGTCATCATCTACCTCCTCAGAACAGGAGCTGCATCAATGGCGACCAATAATGATTTTGGAGCTTTCATTGAGAAATTCACAATCTCTCCAACTTCTACTTCCTCGGTGCCTCCTTCTCTACAGGGTCTTACTTTCGCCATTAAAGACATGTACGATATCCAACTACTTACAATGTTTCCCCTATACTTTCTAGTCAATCAATTTTTGAGCTTCTTGTTTGGTTTAATCAGTTTTGATGTGGAAGGACGCGTTACCGGTTTTGGTAACCCGGATTGGTTAAGGACACATACGGCAGCTACTTCTACAGCTCCCGTAGTTTCATCTCTCTTAGAAGCTGGTGCTACAGCTTTGGGTATTACCATTATGGATGAAATGGCTTACAGGTTCAATTCCACATCTTTTCTGGTTTAGGTGTTTTTGTTTGAAAAACCAGGATATGTCTTAACAGAGGCTAGAACTAAACTATGACTAGGTTTGTTACGGTTTTTTTTAGCATGTTCTTACTTAATTTGCAGTATAAACGGTGAAAATGCGCATTATGGGACTCCGAGAAACCCGATTGCTTTCGATAGAGTGCCTGGCGGATCATCGAGTGGCTCAGCCGTAGCTGTAGCTGCTCGTCTTGTGGATTTTTCTATTGGTGAGCTGAACAAAAATTGCCAAAAGTTATAACCATACTGATCATTAAGTAATTTTCTTCCCTCATTATTTCTGTCTAATTGGGTTTTGATCAATCAGGAACTGATACCGGAGGGAGTGTACGAGTTCCAGCATCTTACTGTGGAATTTTTGGTTTCCGGCCATCGCACGGTGCAGTTTCCACTGTCGGAGTTACTCCAATGGCTCAGAGCTTCGACACAGTTGGTAACAACAACTAAAAACCGATATGTTAATGGTTAAACTGAATCTTGATATTGATGGTTCCAACATTGTCTTTAGGATGGTTTGCTCGGGACACAGCCACTTTGAAACGTGTAGGCTGCGTTCTCCTGCAGCAGGATCACTTGAACCCCATCGAACCATCTCAATTGATTATCGCAGATGACTGCTTCAAGCTGTGTAGTGTACCACATGATCTGTTGGTGCAGCCTCTAGTTGGATCCGTGGAAAAATCATTTGGAGGTAAAAATTATCATAAGAACCTATAGCCCTTTTGTTAAAAGGGAACTCAGAGTTTATTTCTTGATGATTTTGTTCCTTAATGATATTGTTCTGTATCAAGGCAACACTGTAGTAAAGAAGGTGAATCTTGGAGAGTATATTGAACAGAATGTTCCAAGCCTTAAACATTTCATGACAAGTGACGATGTCACGACACAACAAGAGTTCTGCATTCCATCTCTCATGGCTCTATCGAGTTCAATGAGATTGTTACAGAGGTAAAACATCTTTCCCATTTACGTGTTCTATCGATTTCTAATATAGTACATAGGCATAACCAAAGTTTAGGCATGAATTCAAGATAAACCACGGTGCATGGATCTCGTTGGTGAAGCCAGAGTTTGGTCCTGGAATATCAGCACGAATCGAGGAAGCTATCAGGACGTCTGACGAGAAGATCGACCTTTGCCGGTCCGTGAAATCTGAACTAATAACAGCTCTTTCAACTTTGCTCGGGGTACAAACTTATTCCTTCTTCTCCCAAATTTGAAACTTGTATAACACATTTAGGTATGTCAGTGATTGAAAGTAGGAAGTGTCCAATCCGGTTTTCGGTTTGGTTTATGTAGGAATTTTAAGGAATAGGTTTTGCTTTGGTTCGAATTCGGATTTTGTTGGTAATATTTGAAGGATTTAATCGGTTTATTGGCATATCGGATTGCTCGATTATGGTTCAAGCGGATTGCACCACCCCTAGTTGAAAACACTTACTAGCAGATCGGTTTAATGTGAATCATACCAAATTTTGTAGGAGAAGGGTGTGTTGGTGATTCCAACGGTACCAGGTCCTCCACCGCATCTCCAAGCTAATGTGGCTGCACTTGAATCTTTCCGCAGCAGAGCCTTCAGCTTGTTGTCGATAGCCGGAGTTTCTGGATTCTGTCAGGTAATAACAACATCAATCTGCCTTCTTGTGGTTGTGGAGTTGGTTAAGAACCGGTCTGATCTTCCGGTTTATTCCTCTGATAGGTGAGCATACCATTGGGGCTACACGAAAATCTTCCGGTATCGGTATCATTGGTAGCTAAGTATGGCTCAGACGGTTTTCTTCTCAGCCTTGTGGATTCCCTTGCGGCATTCATTTGATTGACATAAACGGACGGACCCAATGCACTTTGAGCATGTCTAATTTACTTTCTGTTTATTTATAATGTCATCGTAGTGTATCAATGGTCTCTTGTCCCAAACCCCAACAATGCATTAAATAAATTGTTGTAGATGTTGTACAATTGTATTTGTGTTTTAGCAAAATATTAATGGCAAATTAATTTTAACTAGATTTCTTGTTATTAATAGTGATTTTAAAGTTCAAAAATATCAATGTCAAAAGAAATCTTAGATGTCAAAGATATAATAGATACCTTAAAGAAATCTTAGATGTCAAAGATATAATAGATACCTTATGCTATTTTTGTCAATCTCCCTACTAAATACTCATTTGTTTCACTTTATATGTTGTTTAAAGTTTTGGCACATAGATTAAGAAATCATTTAATTTTTTTGTTTTTTATTTATTTTAAATTATGTTTAATTATCCATTTTAAAAAAATCAACTAATGAAAAAGCAAACTGCAGAATTTTAAGAGTCAAAAATAATAAAATGATAATAAAATTTCTACTAAAACTTGAAAACAACAAAAATAAAACAATATTTTTTTTGCGTAAACAACACTTATTAAGAAATTCAAAGGAGTATATGATTTTTTTTTCAAAGTTTACTTTAATTCATTAATGTCTAATAATAATAAAAAAATTTTGTATATTTTCTTATATATATATTTAATGTTTTCGTTAGTTCTTTTTGTGTTATAATTTTTTTTTTTTTTGTGAAAGACGATAAATGTACTAATGTTGAGTTAATTGAATGATTGATTATTATTTTTGATGTGATTTTTTAATGATGAAGATGAGGAAATCTTTTGGACTACCTGTATATATTTAACCCAATAATCAGCTAGTATGGGCCATACCTAATGATCAGCTTATTAGAGCGATTGATATAGATTTATTAACCGACTAATTAACAATAAATAATTTAAAATGCGATTTGAATGATTTCGTCCACGTTAACGACAATAAATTCACGTAGCTTAGCCAACAAAATATTTTATTAAAGCATAATTGAACTACAACTGTTTTGTTTAATGTTTGATATCGCTATTTAAAAAAAAAACAATCACAAGCTTGGTCACCAATTTGATATATCCGATATACCTGTTGTTATTGAAACTAATTCTTAATTATAACACAAAACAGGCGCCTAACTTGCGCATGGAATTTTATTACACAATTATTCGTAGACTCACCTAACGAATTGACTTCTACGCCAACGTGCGTCCATGCATCTGAAGAGCCTTCTTCAATCATACACCCATGAATTGGCACATATACGTTCATGTATATGAGATTATGAGTTCACGTACACGTTACATGTATGTAGATTCAGATATCGCTAAGAGCATAGAGAGAGTTGGGAAAGAATGGGGGCAAAAAACAATAATTCGAGCAGGAGAATTTTTATGTTTTATCTTATACTAATAACATTGTCGTTTTTGGGTTTGGTCCTAAACTTTAAACCTCTGTTTCTGCTCAATCCCATGATCAAATCTCCTTCGATAGTTGAGATTCGTTATTCTTTGCCGGAACCGGTTAACCGGAACCCGATATGGCTCCGACTCATCAGAAACTATCTTCCGGATGAGAAAAAGATCCGGGTGGGTCTTCTCAACGTCGCAGTGAACGAGCGAGAGAGCTACGAGGCAAGCGGGACGTCGATCTTGGAGAATGTCCACGTGTCACTCGATCCTCTACCGAATAATCTGACGTGGAAGAGTTTGTTCCCGGTTTGGATCGACGAGGATCACACGTGGCACACTCCTAGTTGTCCAGAAGTCCCTCTCCCTAAGATGGAAGGAACCGATGCTGACGTGGACGTGGTCGTTGTCAAAGTTCCGTGCGATGGTTTCTCGGAGAAGAGAGGGTTAAGAGACGTTTTCAGGCTACAGGTGAATCTGGCGGCAGCGAATCTTGCGGTGGAGAGTGGTTGGAGGAATGTTGATCGGACGGTGTACGTAGTCTTCATCGGATCATGTGGGCCTATGCATGAGATCTTTAGGTGTGACGAGCGCGTGAAGCGCGTGGGGGACTATTGGGTGTATCGGCCTGATCTTACCAGGTTGAAGCAGAAGCTTCTCATGCCTCCTGGTTCATGTCGGATTGCTCCGCCAGGTATTTTTAATTACATTATTCATAATTTATTTTTCTACATCAACTTTAGTTATTTATTTATTGCAATATGGTCACATAATGCATATTTAAAAAATTCCAATGTTTTTGTAGATTTAAAGCGGTAAAATTATAAAAAAAAAGTTCCGATAAATGATTAACCAGTAACATTCTTTTCAACTAACTATTTCTCATTCGTTGTTAAAGGTCAAGAAGAAGCATGGATACAAGACAAGAACAAAAGTCTCACATCCAAAAAAACTACATTATCATCAATTACTGCCCAACGTGTCGCTTACGTGACGTTACTACACTCATCGGAGGTCTACGTATGCGGGGCAATAGCCTTAGCACAAAGCATAAGGCAATCTGGATCAACCAAGGACATGGTACTCCTCCACGATGACTCCAT